GATCCTAAAGTCTTTTAATAAAATACTTCAGCAACAAATTCTTCAACTTACTCACTCAGTGTTCTTTCCAATTTGTAATGCACATACTTTAAATTCTTAGCCTAGCATGAGTTGATTTGTCTGTGATTGTGGCAGGGAACCATGGTACTGCAAATAGGTAGCCAGGAGAGTGGTTCCAGCCCTCCATTTGCTGTTTAGTAGACTCTTGGGAAAGTCAAATCTCACTCACTATTGTGTTACTGAAAATGAGTAACTTGAAAAGCAAGAGCACACCAGTATTGGCAGAAAGTTTGTAGAAACACAGACTCGAATTTGTTCACCAGCTGGACCATGACATCTGAGATCTCACTTCAGATCTAAGAAGTCATCACTTTACGATAACTCTCACACATCTGAAACTTCAAGTATTGTGGTCTTACTTAATTATTCCTTGAGAAAGTCAACCAGCCTCCTCTTTCCTGCTACAGACCCTTGTGTCAACATTTATATCTCACCCTAGAGATTGTGGTGAGGTCATAGGCACCTTGTTGCCATTTTTATAACCATTTTTTGAATTGTGGCTGCATGCAAAAATGAGAGGAGGTACCGAAAATAACAATGTTTGAAATGTTTACAGATGTGTCATATACTCTATGAATATTGACAAAGTTAGTTCATTTGGGGCTCTTCACAAACTTGCACTTTATTTATACTTTTCAGGTGAAGAAATTGAGACTCACGAACATATGTACGCATACACACACACACACACACACACACACACACACACACACACACACACACTTCTGTCTTCTTAATAAGCAAAACATCTTGGATTTGATTTGCAAGCTAGTAAAACTAGATCATTCTCTCATTTATTTATTTTAAAAAATGTTTATTGGGATAATGTTCATCCGAGAATATAAAGGTGATCAGACAAAAATCCCTGTGCTAAGTGTGGAATACTTTCTACTGAAATGTTGGTTAGCAGTTTCCCAGAGACCCACAAAATCACTCTTGGTCACCCACAGGAACTTAATGGTAAGACCCAGTTTAGTGCTAAAAGCATCACTTTGGTCCTATGACCTGGAGAAACCAAGCTGATACTGACCTTGAAACTTCTTCCTTGTTGGGTAGCTTTAAAAGAACTAGAAAGTGCTTTGTAGATTGACAGGGGAGCCAATCCATCGATAGTCTTACGCAGCTGTGAACCCTGTGAGCTATGATGACTAGACGATGCAGTGGAGACAGCTGTGGCATAAATGTTACAGGGAGAGCCAACAGCTTCTTAGTTGAATTTAAGACCTGCTCAACAGGAGGAAACTCATGCCCGTAAACATGGCGAAGAACTCATGGGTGGAGAGGCTAAAGGCCCTACAAACCTTACTTTGTGAAAGGGGCATAGTACCAAACTATCTTCTAAGTATTAATCTTTGTACTAATAAAGTAGTACAACTCTCACCCCTCATCAGGCAGATGTTTCAATGCAGTAGATGGCAGTTAATACAGAAAATCATAAATGGAACACATATATCACACCCTCCTTACATACAAGGTTCAATAAACATTGCAGAAGGGGGTGTGTCGAGATAAAGAATCAGAAAATCAGGATGAGTGTTTCAATATAATGTCTTAAGCACACGTCAGGGCCATTGTACTCATGAATCACAACAATCGTGGTTGCCGGAACAAGACCTGCACAGGTTCAAGTCAATCAACATTCCAGCATGGAAAGGGGAGGGGCTCTCAAAGCCCCATCCCTAGCTGAGGAGCTATTAGTAGTCAGTTGAGGGCTGCTAGAAGAGGAAGAGTCCGTTTCTTCAGGAGTGTGGTCCATGGTAGGTTACCCATGCTCCATTGAATGTTATTCTACACCGAATGAATACAGGCAGCATTAACTGAACTTGGCGGGCGATAAAAGTAGAAGAAAATGGAGAAGGAGGAGAGGAGGAAGAGAACATGAAACTATGTGGGGAATGCATAGGAGTCTTGGAGGATTTTGAGAGAGAAATCAGAGGTTTGATATAATCTAAATTAATTGTAAGCATCTATGAGATTACAGAAGAATAAATTAAGAAACTTCAAAGCTGGTCAGCATTAAATGTCCATGGGTTTTTTTGTCACAACTGTGTTCTCACTGCTTTCCCACTTGCTAGTGCACATTGGTTACACTTACACAACCTTCCATACTATGCCTGCTGGTCTGAAGGGGAGGAGGGCATCCCTGAAATCTCACCCTCACAGCCCACAAAGCATCCTCAGCCTCACATTGGATTTACTGCTATATAAGACAGTTGTCCTCAGAAGCTCTTGAGGACTTGGGTCTGCCTTCTACAGGTCTGATGAAGAGGGTACTATCATGTAAAGATTTGTATAAACTGTAACTTTCCTCTAGGAAGAGCAGTGGACTCACAGCGCCTCATTGAAGCTCTTGAAGTTAGCTGATTCCATTCACCTGAAACTTGTTCACTCTTTAAAAAAAGATTGCTTGTTTTTTTTTATCTTACACATATGAGTACTTTGCCTGCATGTGTGTGAATGCAGCATGTGAATACCTGCTGCCTTAAAGCCAGAAGAGGGCATCAGCTCTCCCTGGAACTGGGGTTACAGATGGTTGGGAGCCACCACGTGGGTGCTGGGAACCAAACCTGATCTTCTGCAAGAGCAATAAGTGATTTTAGCCACCAAGTCATCTCTCCAGCCTCCTACATGTTTATTCTGAAGACAAAGATAGTCTGTTTTCTCCTGCCTACCTCTCAGGGTTGTGTAAAAGCCACAATTTTTAAAAGAAGCTGTGAATATCTAATGACACATGTAGTAGCTTCGGGACCGTGTCAACCCATCTAAACAGGAACTCCATGGTGTAGCTCTGCTTTCCCCGTTTGTTTCCAATTGGGAGTTGGCCACAGAGACATTCATATTCATTTCCAAAGGCAGACATGAAACCAGTTGTTTTATTTGCTGAAGATCAATTCAGGTCACTCTGCACTAAAGCGTGGTCAAGGAGATGACTGGCTCCTTTGTTGGCCTGAGGCAGCATAAATAGCCACATTTCCCTCCAGGCCAGCTGACTTCCTTCCTCAGCTTCTCCTGTCCTTGAAGCATTGGCAAAGGCACAACTTCTAAGTGGGATTTGCCACTAAGATTTGAGTTGGTGGGAGAGGTCAGTTTTTCCTCATGAGCTCAACTTTGCCAAGAGGAATTTCAGTTTTGCCATGAAGATATTGCCTGTTCCTATTCGAGAGAGCCAACTGCTCTACCCATGCCAACTTCAGGACTACCATCACAAGCAAAGAAAAGAGCTTGGTGTAGGCATTTCAGCCCGCTTCCATAGCTGCACCAGCTCCCGTCACTGGGCCCCTATTCTGTACCACGGCTCTGTATTTTCTCATTAAACCCTGTCATCATCCATATCAAGCTCCCCAAACTCCAAAGGATGCTTACATTTCCTTTGCAGTTCCATCTCAACTTAACTTTGCATATTCAATAAAGTTCACATAGTTTGGAAAACAGACCATATGCTTGACATATGCAAAAACACTCACACAAACACAGATACTATAGCACCTACCAAAGTGCCTTGCACATGGGAGTCTACATAATGTTTAAATACACACATATGCATACACACTCACACATTCAGTTGCTTTAGTTAGAACTTTTATCTTAAACAAAGGTATATATCTTTAAAGCCACCAAATCTGGATTCATTAAGCTTTGTAAATAGTCTCAAATTCTAGACCTCCAGTTACTTATGATATTGAGTTGAAAAATATGTTTTGAAGGGCCAGAGAGAAGGCTAATCAGATAAAAGCACCGGCTACACAAATCAGTGAACCTGAGTGTGATCTCCAGAAACCACACAAAAACCTCAGTACTGGGGGATACATATGTAACTCCAGCACTTCCATTGCGAGGTGGGAGGTGGAGACAAGAGAACTGGCCAGAAGCCTTCAAGCTAGCCAGCCTGGGGTGTGCACTAGAGCAGAGGCACCCCACAAAAATATCCTGTCTCAAAGTGGAAGGCCAGAATCTACTTCCACAAGTTGTTCTCTGCCCTGGTATCTAACACTCCTGAGAGAGAGAGAGAGAGAGAGAGAGAGAGAGAGAGAGAGAGAGAGAGAAGAAGAAGAAGAAGAAGAAGAAGAAGAAGAAGAAGAAGAAGAAGAAGAAGAAGAAGAAAAGAAAGAAAGAAAGAAAGAAAGAAAAGAAAGAGAGGAGGAAGAAAGAAAGAGGAGGAAGAAAGAGAGAAAGAAAGGGAGAGAGGTTATTTTTCAACAAAAGATGTCCCATGTATTCATGAGAACTGTCTTTGTTGTTATAGTTCACATTCCCCTATCCCCCCCAATAGATTATGGCTACTGTATGCATAAGAACTTTGGAGGACTACAAAAGATCAGGAAGCACAAAAAATCAAATCAACAAAGAGATAAGAAATCCAGGAAGTACTTTCTACTTATCAAAATACTAGAAACTTAATGCAGCAGACTTTATATACCCGGTACATAAGTCTTGTCCTCATCCATTTATTTGTCTTGTCCATTGCTGCAGTTACAAATTGAAAGTTTCAAGTTCTTGTTCCCATGATGCAATACCAGCATCCTGGCATCCATCCTGAGATTCAGCTCAGACTCAGCACCACTTTCCACTTCACTGTCTATGTCTTTTACCAAACAATGAGTTCACAGCTTTACATTCCAGCTACTGTGTTACAGATTCTTTAGCCATTAAACATTAATTCTTTGTGGCCAGATTTGGCATCATTGGAGGACTATACATACAAATGTATAGAGGCTACAGGAACTGTATCTCCTTGAGCCTGCCTGAGAGATAAAACCAGAGACTTGCCTTCTCTGAAGTTACACCCTTCATCAGTACAATGAGGTTCAGGGCAACTACATGACATCATAGCCACTATTACAGAAGGTTCATAAATATGTAACACTTGGCAAATTCAATATAGAAAAGATAGTCAGATTTCAAAAGAAAATTGTAAACAGCATTTAAAATCGTGATTTTACCCGTGTAGCAAAGTACTTTCGTGAAGCATAGGGCTGGTGATAAGGATTGGGGTAAAGGGTCGATTTAGTCACACTTGGTTGTCTTGAAATCTGCCTTGGTCCTGGTTCCTCGCCTGAGTCCCCCCCATTTGTGGACAGGTGGTCAGTCTCGGAGGGTTGGTCATCTCCCTCTTGCTTCAGAGACACTGGCTGGAACCCTTCAAAGCTCCCAATTGTTGACATGTCTTTAGCCTAAAACAAACAAACAAACAATCTTTTCATTAGAGGATAAAAACATGCCATCTGTATCCTGGCTATGGAAAAGGAGATTATGACAAAAGATCTATAGCAAAAGATCTTCCCTAAAAGGAAACAGTCAAACTTTGATCAAACAGAGGCACCAGTGGATCACACAGGAGCATAAACATCTAGATGCTATCTGTGTGCAGGGCCTTCACCAGAAGAGAGAAGTGGGGACTCTCAGGACAGAGAAAAGGAGCCTGTGAGTCGCTCCATTCCCTCAACTCTAATACCAGATCATAAGCTGAACAAGGGAAATATAGTGTGAAATTACTGCCAGGTAATTCCTCTTCTCGATTTTCTGGCATTTTTGTCTAAAACTCTACCTGGCCTTGTTTATATTTAAAGAGTGAAAAGCAGTGATAATGTAGCTCCTGGTCAGCTCCAGGGATTGGTATGAGGACATGTGGTGGTTTGAATAAGAATGTCCCCTGTAGACTCATATATTTGAATGTTTAGTCATATGGAAGTGGTGCTACCTGAAAAGGATTAGATGTGGCCTCGTTGGAGGAAGTGTGTCACTGGGGGGTGGATTTTGAGATTTCAAAAAGCCCAAGCCAGGCCCACTGTCTCTCTCTCTTCCTGCTGCCTGTGGATCCAGATGTAGACCTCTCAGCTACTTCTCCAGCACCATGTCTGTCTGTGGGCCCCCATGTTGCCCAACATGAAAATGAACTAAGCTTTTGAAACTGTCAACAAGCCTCAATTAAACGATTCCTTTTATAAGAGTTACTGTGGTCATCATGTCTCTTCACAGCAACAGAACACTGACTAAGACAGGACACCTAGAACTGGCATATTTTCAAATCAAATGTTCCAATTGTAAAGTTGTATTGTAAGGAAATAGTTTAAAAGGTCCCAGTTTCCAGTTTGAAAACTCACCAATCCCCAGGTTTGCCTCAAGCTCACAACTTGAAATCCCAACAATCCCTACCCTGGAAATCTCCACCCTGGAAAGCTTTGCCCCCAAGAAACCCTATGTAATAGTCTGCCTCCTGCTCAGCTCCCTGCTGCTTTTCACCCAAGCAGAGGCAGCCATCCCCTTATGTCTTTTCCAATAAATCTCTTGTGTGAGGTTTATTGGGTGGTGTGGTTTTGTGATATTCCTTGGCACCTGGCTGCCAGGATACCTTTCCTTTCAGAGCTGTAACACGTACAATTATGGCTAGGAGAGAAATACTTAGTGCTGTCTAGTGGGCCAGTCTCTATGCAGCTCAGGGATCAAAGGGAATCCACAGTGCTGGCAAAGACTGTTCTATCTGAGGGGGTTAGGAAAAAGACACACATACATTCTCTTGATCATTTTCTTCTTTGTCAGCCTCTTCTGATGAACTGACTGGGCTGGATTGGGCTGGGGTCCCTCACAGCTGTACAAAAATGTATTTATCAATTGTTACATAAGGTATTTCCTCATACTAAGGTTCCTAACCTTAATTAGGATGTCTTACTGAAGGGAAGTATTACATGCCTCTACAACTCTAGTCTTTCATTAAGCATGGTTTACAATACACAATAATACAAGAGGCTCAGGTGTACCTGAGGGTAGCATGTGACCAAGGCCATAAGATGGCTGTAATGCCCCCTCAGCAAAACAATCATTGTTTCCCACAAGGATTCTTTAAGGTCAAGGTACTTCTAAAAACCATCTGTTCATTCTAATCTCTATCCCATACAGTGATTTTAGTAAATTCCTACAGAGTACAGGAAGCATGCTTTGCATTTCCCTTACACGATTAAGAACAAAATCATCCCAATATTCCATATACATTTACGTCTAAGTAACTTATTGCAGATCAGCAGAACATGAGCAGACAGAAAGCAGCTTTTCACAGCCCACTCCCTTGCTGGCAGGCTGTGTACTGTGGCTACAAAGAAAGAATCAAACGTTCTACTGTCTGTCTAGAAAGTTAATCTTACAAGGAATCCTAAAGGAATCACAAATCTAAACTTTTGCACATAAATGACAATTAGTCAGCTGTACTTCTGCTCTTTAGGGTGTATATCAATCTATCACTAGTTTCTTATATCAGGGGACTGAGGGCAGGATGGGTACAAGGGGTTAATCATCACTTTTGATCAACATAACAGTTGGGCTGCTTTGTATTTCTTAACCTCAGCTATGAGTATAGCCATTACGTTGTTCTCTGTGGGTTTTTTTTTTCATCTTAAAGTTATTATCAAAACATCTGATCTAACCTGAAGTTATTAGAAGACTTTGTTTTAGCAAAATGATGCACACTGAAAACTCGTGACTGCATCTGTTCAGCATTAAGAGAATTAGAGCCAGTTTGGCTCCTGAGAAATTTCAATTATTCTCCTTAATCATTAAAATGAGCTGTGACTTAAAGCAGCTCCTTAAGTGGAACTCATAGGGCTTAGCTGTGAAACATAGCCTTGTATATACTTTTATTCATCAGAGCTCTGTATAAGCTAACATCATTATCAATTAGACAGTACATCTTAGGGAGGAAGTCATCTCCATAATAATTCACAGGTAAAAATGCCCAGTAAGACAGGATATTTCCATGAGATAAACACATTACCTTACAGGCAGTGGGGAATTTCCCCACACCCAATTCAGCCATTCCAGATGACAGAGAGAGACAGCAACAGCAAGCATGCAAAGATGCAGCAGAAGAAAAAGATGTTCCAGGGTCTGTGGTCTCAGGTGCTTTGTCTACCAGAGAATTATCCACCGGGGGGTTGCCTCCTGGTGGGCCTACTCCCTGAATCTCAATAGTCACCCACGGCCTCCCTGACATATAGTAACATCAAGCATTCACACAACCTTGGATTTAATACCAAATAATTAAAATGAAACTAAGTATTTACTAGTAGAGAATAGGCCTTAGAGTCAAACACAATGCAGCCATTAAAATATGAAATACACTTTATCACAGAAGGATCTCCAAAATATATTTTATGGAAAAAGGAAGTTATCGTACATGAATCAGAATGTTCGATTGTCTTAAAATCGATCAGAGAGAAAGGAAGAAACTATTACACATGTATTTGCAAATGTGTATATGGATGTCCAATATTTGAAACTGAAAAAGACAATAAAATGTTAAAGGTAGTTCTCTCGTTGTGATGATGCCGTCGCTACCTCTCTCATTTTCAGTCTCTGTGTCTCTGGGTGCTAACAAAATAATCACTTAGCATTTAAATAAAAATGATAAATTGATTTCTGTCTGTAAAGCTTTTTTAAAAATTAGGAGAAAATAGAAGATACATGCAGGCTCAATTTAAAGTCTGCCTGATCTAGTGCTCCATATTCTAGGAGTGCAAGAAAGCCACATAAAGGCATTGCCTACACCTAGGTACTTTGTCCAGCTGTCCAACTGTCCTTACAGGAGGCCAGCTACTAATGTGTTCTGGAAGCAGGCTTCATGTCTAGTTCACCATTGGGAATGACATCCTATTCTCAGAGCTGCCTCTATGTTCTTAATCAAATAAAAGGTGGCTCTAATTCCATTTCCTCAGTTCTTGTGAAATGCCAGAAAGTATGCAGGGGGGTGGGGAGCCTCGTTTGCCAGCATATTTTCACCCTGAAAATTGAGACAAACTAGAACATTCAAGAGAGGTAAAAATAGCACGATCACACAGCGTTGTAGAGCCCTTGCCTCCTAATTGAAACATTGTCTGTGGGAGGGAGGAGAGAAGCTCATACAGCTTCCAAGGCTAGGGAAGCTCAGAAAGTTATAAAGTCACAAGGCTCCTAGCCAAGGTTTTATAAGCAGTAACAACAGCTGGGGGAGGGGACTTTCCAGCCAGCCAAGCAATCAGCAAGTTGTGCAGTGAGCTCCCGGGATGTAGCTTTCATGCCAGGCTGGGCTTTTCTGATGCCACTGACTCGGAGCCAACCATACTCCTCGGAAGTGAAACCTCGCCTGTGCCACCCTAAGTAACTCCATCCAATAAACTCCACCAAGGTAGACTCGGATGGCATCAGTTCTCTGGTCAGCTGTTGGAGCCCTGTTGGAGGTAAATAGACTTTGTTCACATCTCTCCACTTAAAGTAACCCGAGTGCATTGCCTAACTCTTTAAGTACTTTGGCGTAAGATGATGCCGTTAGCAATTATGTCAGGATGGTAGGAGTAAACAGAACCGTCTCTGGTGACTGTGGATGTCACTCTGAGGGGGTTGAAGTCAGTAGAAAATACAGTTGGTGAAACTCGTGGATTGCCGTCGGCAGTTCACATTCCAGTTTATCTTAGCTGACCCTCACAACCCAGGCAGTCTTGATTCCTCCACACACATCCTTCTAAGGATGCAGAGTAGGGAGGCACCACCTAAGGCGTACTTGGCAGTTCTTCTGCTGACATGCTTTTGAGTCCAGCTTGCTCACCATAATGCCAAGGTTCCTGCTCACAGGAAGGCCTTCCTCGAATATCCAGGTAATGTTTGAAAAGCAGCTTCCCAAAGGCTGAAATTGGCCCTTATTGTGAGAACAAAAGGTATGGAGAAGCAGGAGAGAGGCAGGGAGCAGAGAGACAGAGAGACAGACAGAGGCACTTTGGCCTTGCTAGCAGTTCTGTACTCTATTTATGCAGGTTGGCCACCTCCTTTACAGTGGGTGTTGGAAGGAAACGCATTTCCAAAGTTCCCATGAAGGAAGGTTTGTGTCACTGGGAAGGGAAGCCTGCTTCTGTATTTGTGCACTCTGTGAACACACGCCTAACAACAGACATCTGCCAGAAGCTCCTGTGCCTGGAAAACAGAGGGAGAATTTAATTAGCACCACTTCCTCTCCCTCAGGCTGTCTTCTCTGGAAACACTTGGGGAAGGCAGCACTTCGGAGATGGAACTGTCTGAGATCCAGGAACTGAGGAAACTCTCAGCTCCATTTGCATTCTTAAAGCCATAAACCTTGGAACGTTGAGCTAGGCTTCCTGATTGGAATTGGAATGCTCAGCAACCACCCTGAGGACATCTCCAGGGA